AGATTTAAGATTTATTTTTTTCCATTCATTAGTAATAGTAATTGTCTATCATCCACACGTGAAAAGGGAAAAATGGAAGAAAGAGATGTTAGGGTTATGTGAGTAATTTGGAGATTGTATAAAAATATTAAGGGCAAAAAGGTAAAAATGTGGTCAACTTAAAACAGCTTATAAGCTAAAAAAAAAACACCCCTACCCCAGCTTTTAGCTTTTGGCTTAAAATAAGTTATTTTGCGTATTGTCAAACAGTTAAATAAGTCAAAAACCAGCTTTTAAGTCAGTTTGACCAGCTTTTAAGCAGAGCCAAACACACTCTAAGTGGCTTTTGTCAGTTATAATTACTGCATTTATTCAATGTTGCACGCCTGAGAATTTGAAGAGTTTAACTTTTTATTGAGTTAAATTAAAAGTAGATAAATTATTAGCATTACTTTTGTTTCTTTATTAAGCAGGTATTACGTTTTTTAATATGAATAGTAGCACTTTTTAGAGAGTTTAATTAAAGTTAACTATATGATTAACACATTTTAGAGATACTAAACATTTTTAAATTATCATCATTGCCTTAAATATCTCTAGTTAGTTAAAATAATATTATTTTTTTGAATTAATTCCTTAAAAAACTGAACCACATAATAACTAATATTTTTGGATTTTCAGAATACTTTTAGATTGTTATTTTTAAACATATTTGGATCAACGTTATAAGTAGTCTTCTTTTCAAAATTTCACAATTATTTTCAGATTGCTTTCAACGTATATGTCATTTTTTTAAAAAATTCAAGAATATTTTCACAGCTGCATATTTCACTTCTTTTTTTTTAGTACCCTGATAAATTTTGGCGTACAATATATGTGTCTATTAAAATTATTATATATGTTTTGATATTAACTTTGTATTGAAAATGTATTGTGTTTGTTTAATTTGAGTATTGTATAGGACAATGAATGATAAATTAACTGTGTATGAAGTGTGTAAGAATTATATGAACTGATTATAAATTTGTGTAGCATTGAAGTCTGAATTTTTTTTAATAGTGTATGAAGATTATACGAAACGTGTATCATTTGTGTATTGAAAGTCCATTTTTTTTCAAAATTATAGTATATGTTTCTAATGAAATTATAATATATGTTTTGTATTAATTTTGTACAGCGGGTATACCAAAACTTGAAAGATAGAAGGGGTTTGCTGACGTGAAATCGAAAAGGACAAAAATGACTAAATGTCGTCAAGTTGGACACAATAGAAAGACATGTTCAAATTATCCTGTGCAAAAACAATGATTTCGTAATGTTACATTTGTTATTGTGTTGTTTTGAATGTTAGAAACACGTTTTGTTTTATTGAGTGCAGTTGTTATCATTGACATTTATAAAATTTGATTTCGTAAAAAATTGTCATATATATATCATTTGTTTCTGTTACATATGTCAAAGTTCAATATGACATTCATATTTCATACAATGTTTATACATTATAAATATACATTGAACTATACTGCCATTCATAAAATGTTCATATAGTATTCATACAATGTTCATACAGTATTCATACAATGTTCATATATGTACCATTTGTTTCTGTTACATATATTCAAGTTAAATATTCATAATTCATACAATGTTTATACATTAAGTGTATATATATATATATATATATATAT